GGGGTGGGGGGTGGGGGGTGAAGAAGGCCGCCGGACCTCAGGTGCAGCGTGACAATGACAGTTCATCGCAGGGATCGTATCTGGAAATCTGGCAAGAAAGTAGCTCTTCAAGGTCCCCGTAAAGAGACAGGAACCAGGCGGGAGGTGGCTGTCAATTGGCCGGCGCGGTTCCCGTCTCGCTGTGTGTGCACCTGTGCCCGTGAAACCCCGGGACAGCCATGCCCATGGTCCACGAGTCACTCACGCCCGTGGAGCTGGTGCCTGGCCTCTGCCAGCGTCACCGCCCCGCCTGCGGGAGCACCGTGCGCCCTTCTGGGAAGCTGGGAGAACCGAACCAGGAGCGTGTGAGGGCCTGGCCGCCGACGCTCACCCCCGGAGGCCACTGCCAAGCCCTCCCTCAGCCTCTCAGCCTCGCTCTGCCCGGGTCCTGGAGCTGCTGTCGCTGGGTGCTGAGCATGGCCCCCCGCCTGGGGCACAGAGAGCCCGCCCACGTCACACAGTGTGCCCGCACATGCGGGGCCCGGGCCACGCCCTTCCTGTTCGCCCGTTAGCACGCGGCTCGATTTTAACCGACGGGACTTCCACTTTGCCCGATCGGTGCCCTCCCAGGAGAGCCACCCGAGAGGGGACACCTGCAGGAGTGGCCAGGAAAAGGGCTCTGGCCCTGGTAGACGCCTGGGTGGGAGAGCGGAGGCCTCTGGAGGGAGACGCTGCTGTAAACGCTCGCCGGGCGGGGGGACGTGGGCGACGATGTGCCCACTTTTCTCTAAGCTCCTTCCGATCGCTGCAGCCTGAAACCGGGCTCCCCCCCACCCGACCTCCCCGCAGCAGCAGCGCCGTCATCTGTTTTAATTAAATAAATTGGAAAAACAAACCAGGCTGGGAAGTGACTCAGGCGGCGTGCGCTGCATAGTGATGGCGCCGTCAGCACAGGAGGCTCGGGACGCCTGCGACCGACAGGCAGCACTTTATTAAACGGAATAAATAAACCCGGGCAACGGCACAGGCTTCAGAGGGGCCACTGGGACCGCCCGGCTCAGCCACTTTGCTTTACTCAAATGTTTCTGCCGAATCAAAACCTGTTCCCATTGGAACTGACTGATTGTTATTAATATCATTGAAGTTGTAGGCAGGCAGCCCTCAAAGCAGTGGTTCTCAACCTTGGCTGCACAGTAGAATCACCTGGGAATCTTTTTAAAATCCTGATTTCTGGGCCTCATCCTCCGGAAATTCTGTTTCTTTGTTACTCATGTTGTGGCCTCACCCCATCACAAAGAAACAGAATTTCCGGAGGACGAGGCCCAGAAATCAGGATTTTAAAGATTCCCAGGTGATTCTAATGTGCAGCCAAGGTTGAGAACCACTGTTGTAGAGGCTCTGCAAAGACCTCCCTCAGCCCGGCTCTGCCCTCCCGGGGCCGCACGTGGCTCCTGCGGTCCGAGGGGCGGGTCGTGCAGCAGCCGCGAGGGAGGCCGGGCCTGGCCGTCCTGCGCCTCACCCAGCAGCAGGTCCCCTGAACACGGGGACAGGGCTGTGCCCTCGACAGCCTGCGCCCAGCCCAGCCCCCCTTTTGTCTGTGAGTCTGACTGGCCCACAGCCGGCTCCCAGATGCAGCTGAGAGCTGAGTGGCCCGGCCCACAGTACAGTGGGGCCTTGACTTACGAGTGTCCCGACTAACGAGTTTTTTGAGATACCAGCTGTCTCTCGGCCGATTTTTTCCATTGAGTTGATAGAGTAATTTGAAGCTCCTTAACGAGCTCCTTAACGAGCTCGGCCTCGGAACGAATTAAACTCATAAGTCAAGGCCCCCCTGTATTCCCTGTCTGGCCCCTCATGGGGGAAGCTGCTGGCCCGCGTGAGAACAGGAGCCTAGGCCTGAGGGACGGGGGAGAGACCATGGGGAGAGAGGGGCAGAGAAACGCGGTGAGGGCAGAGAGAAAGAGGGCCAAAGCTACAGACAGGCAGACATGAACAGAGAACAGAGAGGAAACGGGGAAGGAGGGAAGAAGACCACTAGGGAAGGAGAAAAGAAAAGGCGGAGGTGGGAGCGCGAGAAAAGCTGGTGTCCCCACCTCCGTTAGCACAACTGGAGCTCCCGCGGGGCCAGTGACAATCCCTCCCCCGGAGGCCCTGGGCCCTGCCTTTCGGACAATGACGTGCCAGGCGTGGGAGGGAGCCGTGGCGGCGCGTCTCCCTGCAGCCCCGCGCGAGTGCACAGATGTTCGCATGCGGGCACGAGTGACGGATGAGCTGGCTGGAAGGCACTATGGCACCACTAGCAAATGAGTCTGTGCCGTTACATGACTTTACTTGTCAATACCCGATGCCCAGCTAATGGGCTGCTTGCAGCGCCGAGAGCGCTCAGCTCTCCGGGTGGGGGCCGTGCTCCGAGGCTGGCACGCAGCTCTGCCTACTGACCAGGAAGAGGACAGGCCCTCCTGGGGCCTGGAGGGCTTTAGTCCAGCGTGTGGCTGAGCGACCTGGGGGTGAGGACAAAGCCGGGACACCTCCCAGCCTGTTCCTTCCTCGGGGCTGCAGGGCTGGGTGGGACTGGGCGACCTGTGCAAGGGTCCGTCTGCCCCAGGAGCTGCAGGCACTCCAGGGCGCTCTGCCCACTAAGGGGCCCCGGGGAGCAGGAAGGCAGAGCCCAGCCTGGTGATGGGGGCGGCACCCAGGGCCTGGGGAGGAAGGTTCAGGGTTGCCGCTGGAGCATGGCCGCCCCCCCTGACACTGGTGCTCCAGGGACAGCCTGCGCCCGCCAAGTTGGAGGCCTGGCCTCAGTCCCCTCAACTGCAAAGAGACAGCAGCCCCGCCCGGGGGCAGAGGCACACGGCCGAGGGTCAGCCCCTGTGGGCCGAGGGTCAGCGGGGCCTCCCTAGGCGTCTGTGTGCTGTGAGGGGCTGGCCCTGGCCTGGAGGCTGCAGGGCCGTGTGAGGCCGCCCCGGTGCTCAGGCTGCTGGATGCACAGGGATGAGGGAGCACTTCCCGTGCCCCTTCTCCTCGAGAGGAGGCTGCCCTGCTCTGGCTGCCACCGGCCGGGTCCTCTGACTCCACCCTGGGTCCTAACCTGGCCAGCAGCCCTGACAGCAGCGCCCCCTGTGGTGGCAGCCAGCACGGCCTGGACTGGGGTCCTGGGTGTTGCAGGAGCAGGGGACCCTGCGGACCCTGCAGGGGGTATCGCCACCCAGCCTACCAGACCCGCCTGGCCCCCCACCCCCTGCAGCTTCTCCCCAGGGGAGCACTCGGCACCGGGCAGATCAGCCACCGCCCACCAGGGGCCGTGCAGGTCCCACTGGTCCTCGTTGGCTGGGAGCAGCCGGGGACTCCTGCTCGCGGCCTGTGCACACGGGCCTGGTGCAGTCAGGTCAGCGGAGACTGGGGGGAGATGGAGGGGCAGCAGCAGGAGGGCCAGGGGAGAGGAGGGGAGGAGAGGGAGGGTACAGGGCAGGGGAGGGGAGAGGGGATGAGACCCTCCCAGCCCAGGTCCCAGAGAGCCTTGGAGAGGAGAGCAGGTCCTGGCACGCGCAGGAGGAAGAGCCCCATCCTGTCCTGTCCGGCCCCTTCCTTTCCAGGCGCTCCCTGGGCACACCCCGTCCCACCCTGGCCAAGAGAGAGCAGGGTGGGCGGCTCTGTCTTCTGCCCCCTGGTGGGGGCCTGGAGGTGTGCAGCTGCCAGCAGGAGTGGTCTGACGCCACCACCTCTATTCCCTCAGGGGGTGCAGCACCATTTGCAACACCTGGAGGCGGTCAGCCTCTCCTCACAGTGGGCTGACCCGCCAAAGGCCAGGAGACAGTGCCCACTGGCCCCGCCCAGGAGTGCCCGGCTCCCACCGCGTGCCCTGGGCCTCCCAGACGGCAGCTCAGGCTTGGGGGCGCTGTGGAAGGGGGTCTGCTGTGCAGAATCGGGTCCAGAGGGGGCTGTACGGGGAAGGACCCAACGGCCAGAAATACACCGCCCTGCCCCGCAGGCCCCAGAGGCCCAGAGCCATGGCCCTCGCTGCCCGGCCGTGAGCGCCCTTGCTGGGGGGGCGCCGACCAGCGTCCAGAGCGCGGAGGCTGTTCTGGGGTGACCCTGCCTCAGGGAGGGAGGGCTCTAGGGAGCAGGAGCTGGGGGCCGGGATCTCCATCACAACAAGACCGGGGGCAGTGGGCCTGGGTGGAGGGGAGGAGCCAGCGAAGGGCCGGCCTGCCTGGGGAGGCCCATCAGCACGTGTCCAGAGGAAGGGGGAGTGACAGGGCCCGGTGTGGACAGCGCGTGCACTCCTGTGGCCGTGGCCGAGCAGGGCGGAGCACGGCAGGCGTGGTGGTGGAGCCAGCGAGCCTGGGACCCCCTCCCCGGGTTCTCCCTCCAGGAGGCGGAGGGTGGTGCCCGATGCTGACATGCTGACCATGGCAGTCGGGGACTTGGCTGCCAGCAACAGGCTGAGTGTCCGTGAGTGG